CACACATTAGCAGAAAGCTGAAATCAGAAGTCCCAGGACTCAAGCCCAAGCACTCTAAGATGGGATGTAGAATTCCTGAGCAGCAACTTAACCAGGATGTCAGATGCCCACTCCTGGGTGTCCATTGTTATCTCCGGGAATCCCCATTGGCCTGGAGGTCTGGGTCTGAAATGTGCACCTTCCTTTAATTGTTACCTTATTCTTGCCAATACAATATGATATCAAACTGCAGCAACCCAGCAAATCCAGCCCTGCCATGCACAATGGACCCGTCAGCTCTCCAGGAAGGCAGGGGAAGGTCTGGGAGAATGACAAGTCAGAAGCAGCAGCGAGCTCGACCTGACAGTCTAGACTTAAATAAATTGTATTTTCTGTCTGGGGGTGATAAAGCGTAAATTCAAGGCATGTGCTACACTTACACATCATTAATGCCCCAAGATGGAGAAGGAGAGCTGCATCTTGTCCCAAGTTTGTAGCAGAATTGCTCTGTGTGTAAATGGCTCTTCAGCCTTTGATGTTGAGCAGCGAGGAAAATAATCCTCCGAGCAAAGCTGGGTAGGAGTGGCGGGCTCCACAGCCAAGGCAGGAGAGCTGGCAAAGACCTGCAGCCGGTACCCATGGGCCTTCTCCCAGTCCCTTCACCAGCACCCATAGAGGGAGAGATCTGTTCCTCAATGGGTTATCTTCTCCAGTCTTCTCATGGAAAAACAAATGAAAATTTCTAATGCAATGAAGTGGGAATCAAAGAAAGAAGGAAAGGGAGGTGGATGGAGTGTTTGCATGAAATCTGGCCAGAACCAGATGAAACCAGCGCAGAGTGACACCTCCCAGAGATGACAGGGGAGACACAGGGCAGTAGCACCCGGTAACACTCGTTCATTTATTTACTCAGTAGAAGGAGCAGTCAGTCTCCAACCTCTTGAAACGTACAGTCTAGCAGAAGATATGTTTGAGAAATAATCACTTGAATAACCATCTAGTTGCACATTTAGTTTGAAAAAAAATCTTTAATCCAGTGGCTCACTCCTCCCCCTCTACTTTACTAATATCCACACAGCTGAAGCTGAACCAGGCCAAAGGTTGGAGCCAGGAACTCATTCCAGGTCTGCAACATGAGTAGAAGTGCCTCAGTGACTGGAGCCATCGCTGCTGCTGTCCAGGGTATGTTAGCAGGAAGCTGGACTCTAGAGCAGAGCCAGGACTTGAACCCAGAAATTCTGACACAGAATGTAGACTTCACAAGTTGGGGCTTCACCCTTGTAGCAAATGCCTGCACCTGGTTGCACACGCTGATGCACTAGAAAGGAAAATTGAGGGAGTATGAGGTTGTAAAACATGCCCTGATACAGAAGGAGGCAGGGGCCAGTGACCAAGAAAGGCTTCCCCCTGAAAGTGGCTGCAGAGGAGCAGGCTGGGCAGTGGGTGGAGAAGAAACACTGCAGATTGAGGTGGTGGCCTGTGGAAAGGCATCCTGGGAACAGCAGAGGCCCTAGATTACATGACACATATGGGAAAGTGCAGAAGGTAAGCAGGCTGGCAGTAGGGGCTCTCCCCTAAATAGGAAGGCACCCATGGGTTTTCAGTCCTCCTGCTAGGAGTCCTGACCTGATCAAGAATTTGGCCTTTGTCAGCCTCCCTTAGCTAAAATCACCCAGTGGCTCCCCAGCCCTGACCTGCTCTAATCTGTATTGGCTTATACCTGGTGTCTTCGTGAACTTGTTCCCAGCAGGAAGAGCAGGAAAGGCCAGCCTGACACCAAAGATGAGTACCAAACTTGCAGGGAGCCATGAAGGAAGGGGCGTGCATCCCTGCTCCCTGCTGACCCTCCCCTATAAGGAAAGGCTTCTGCTTCTATTTTACCCACTGAATAAGAGCATCTACTCCCTCGATGATGAAGTTTGGACGTGGAGGGTGGCAACCTTAGCTATTCAGTAGATCCTATGTAAATGGGGAAGCGGAGAGGCCAGCATAAAGGAAGCACAGCATGTTGGATTGGAGGTCAGTGTTCCCAATGGATGGGTCTGTGCTGTGTGACCTGGCAGCAATAGCTTCTTTCCAAGGTCTGTTTCCTTGGCTGCAAAGAACTGGTGGGATGGAGCTAAACAAGATGACCTGTAAGGCCCCCTTTCGGTCATTGCACTTTATCATCGTCCACAAGCCTCAAGAAAAGTCAGGGCCTTCAGTCACCCTTCAGCAGGTTTGTGGCAGAGCTGGGTTCATGGCTGAATTCAGACGTTACAATCTGACTCCAGTCCAATGTGCTGAAGTTTTAAGGAGAAAAGATGGGAGAAGAGAGGCCCAGGGAGTTAGAACCTGCAATAATCAGAGGCTAGGCTGAAACTGTCTTTTCTTTACAAGTGTCTTTATACAGATAGGAAAATTAATGCTATAAGCAACTTTAGAGGCAGGATATTTAGAATGTCTACAAAGAAAAGCCTTGTTGGAGCACCCCAGCAGTCACTCCAGGTGTGTTCAGCCCCTTGCCATGGCTGGCTAACTAGGAAATGCCCTTATCTGTTCACTGCAGTGGTCCCCAAGAACATCTCTCCAGGGGATGAGTTTATTAGCCAAGTTCAATTGCAATATGCAGTCATGATGATAAAACCAAGTGCTCTTAAAAACCTCATCTGCAATGAACTTGGCACTGCTTCCAGCTGTTTTCCCCTGTGGGAAAGCAGAGATTGAAGCTGAGCTGTCCTGCAATGGGGCAGCTGGCCAAGAACTTGCTGCTGTTTTGTGTAGCAGAGAAGGGAGTAGAATGGGATCTCCTATTCATCCTTCCCACCATTCCTGAAGACAGATAGTAATTCTTGTACTTCATTTATGCCCCATAATCCCTTGCACATAGTAGGGATATGTGCATATGACTATCGATTGGCTAATGGGAAAAGCAAGACCACATTATGTGACTTCAATGTGCCCCAGTGACAAAACCACTCACCTCTCTACCAGGACAGACGCCCTAAATAAGCAAATGTGTTAGAATCAAACAGACATAGGTTTGAATCTCAACATATCTGTTCACTGGTTCTATGACCTTGGGCAAGTTGTTACCTTCCTGGACTCTGGATCCCTCTTCTGTACAATGGAAATAGGAGTACTATCCATGGTCACAGTTGTAAGAATTGAACCAAATGACATGGATAAGTGTACGTGGTACAAGCCCCTCTCCCTAGCTTCCAACTAGCCATTGGGAGCTACATGAGAAGCCAGTTTCCAATGCCCACCCCTGTTACTCACATCCCTGTTCTAGAGGCCTCCCTGTGGCCTCCCTGCTGTGGGATGGGCCAGTGTAATGGAGCGTGGTCATGAAAGTGGCCTGGGCTTTAGTCTCAATGGCTGCTAGAGGCCAATGCAGTAGGCCTGTCTCCCTGCCAAGCAGTTTTGCCAGATGCATTCAACCTGAGGTTCCAATACAGTTGCATAGGCGTAACAATGCATAGCATTTGTAGGAAATCTGTTACAAGCATTATCTGTTGAGTCACTCAACCCTGAGAGGTAGCAAAGGCCAAGGCCAGAACCCCATTTCACAGACCAAAAAGTTGGTGTTTGGTGGATTTACTCGACCCTCCCAACGTCCTACAACTAGTAAGTGACAACAACACAACTTGAAAACACTTTCTTGTCCTGGTCTGTGTCCCCACCATCATCCTATATCTTTATGGTCCTGTTCTCATTGAGCAAGAGTAAATGGAGACCCTACTGTGTACCAGCAGAGTGCTGGAATTCAGAAAGGAGCAAAATCCAATGTAGGGTGGAGGCAGGATCAGCTATTCAGGGCCATGCAATGCACACTGTGTGAAGGGGAAAGGCGGCTGTGAGGAGAAACAACCCAGTCTCGGAGGCCAGCTAGAGGTTGCCTAGGCAGAGAGGAGAATGAGAGGGCTTATAGACCACAGAAGCAGCAAGTAGAGGACAGAAAGGTCTAAATCCACAGGATGCATCCAAGGGTGCTGCCTCTGGTTTGTACTGGCTCCACTCATTCATTCATTCATTCACATAGTTGGAGTCACTCCCTGTGCCAGAGGCTTGCTAACCATTAAGGAAAGAAACTTCAGTGAGCATGTCTGTGGGGTCTACCTTCTGTTGGGTACCTGTTGCCTCAGATGGAAGGCAGCACCACAGAAGGGAGGAGGCATAGGTGGAATGTGTCACAGAAGGCTGGGTGTGGATGGCTTGGATTTCAGGATAAAAGGATTGAGGAGTTCTGGAAGATTTTCAGTTCAAGATTAACATGGTCAGGTTTGCATGCAGAAAGTACTGGTGGTGATAGCTTGGAGAATGGACCAGAGACAGTTGTCTGTAATCTGGAAGTCCAACTGGGAAGCCAGAGTGGCCCAGGCAAGATGTGCTGGGTTCCAAAATGACAGCCCTCTACAAGAGAAAGGCTGCTTTCAAGGCACATGGAGTGTGTTAGCAGTCTTGCTGGCTGCCTACACATGGAGGAGGGGACGGCAAGGACATGCAACTCTGAGGTCATGCCTGAGCCCCCATACAGGAGCAGTCCTGCACCCCAAGACAGGACAGGAAGAGAATTGTCATAGGGGCAGGGAAACTGAGCAAGGTGATGTGTTCCCTCTTGGAATGGCTGAGCCCTGGTTGCCTGTGCTGTACCCGAAAGGTAATAGTCAGATGGTGGCAGTGGGACCCGTTGTTGAGCCTGGGGGACAGCTCAGGCCTGGAGGCTTGGACTACAAATGATGATTAATGCTTGGGACTTGCTGGGAAAGCACGCAGAAGGATGGTAGACCAGATCCCATTCAACCAACCTCCAAATGATTCCAGATTTGTCCTGTGATGTCAGGATCCCACTTGGCTCAAGGTGGGCCATCATCCAGGGTTAAGGAATCATTGGTTCCCAAGAAAGGTTGGTTGTGATGGACTGCAGGGACTCTGATCTGCCCTGGGAATTTTCGTGGTTGGTGGTGGGGGGTGGGGGTCTTGCTGACCTCTGGAGCTCAGCCTGAAGTCACCCTCTCTCTCTCTGTTCTCTCCTTCAGGTGTTTACAAAATATGGGAAGTGTTACATGTTTAACTCAGGCGAGGATGGCAAGCCTTTGCTCACCACGGTCAAGGGAGGGACAGGCAACGGGTTGGAGATCATGCTGGACATTCAGCAAGACGAATACCTGCCCATCTGGGGAGAGACAGGTGAGCCATGTATGGGGCCAGAATGCTGGGAGAAGGCTGACAGGACGCAGGATTGATGCAGAGGGACTGTTTAGTCTCAGGTAGGCCATCTTGACCAGTCCTGTGACTGGCAGCTGCCCTCTTAGTATCAGGCATGGGTGATGTGGTAGTTAGTGGTCAAGGTGGACCTGGCTGGATTGTATTGCCCTGGAACAGGGCAAGATGATGGGAATACTGGAGAGAGAGACAGGCAGGTTGAAGTAGGGGTGCTGGAGCAGGTGAATGACTTGGTTCCAGGAGGTTATCAGAAGTACCAACTTTTTCTTTCTCTCCCAATGTGATTATCCTAAGCTAGCCAGCAGGCCCAAATAGGTTCCTATCCAATGGGTTATGTGAAATGTTAGAAAACCAAAGACCTTGGACTTGGAGACCTGGCAGCTCCGTGTGTAGCCCTGGGGCATGGTGGAGAGACCCACCTACATGTGTAGACACTGAAACTGACTTCTATTCATTGCTCATGTGGCAAACTCGCCATAGTTTCAGGCTTTGCACAAAGTCTGGAGATCCCAGGGCAATACAGGGGGCAGCTGCACTGGGATGGATTCTTGAAATTGCCTTGGGTTATCCAGTGGACTTTGTGTCATGGGCCAAGGAGGAGGGGCTTCATAAGAGCAGGACAGGGAGGTCAGACCAAGAGGACAGCACTGTTACCACAGTAGCAGAGATGAGGGATGGCACCCTCCACAAGATGTCAACTGATAACGTGCCCAAGAGTGAGGACCATGGATATAAAGGAGACACAGAAGGAGAAATAATGAGAAGGGGTTGGGAGAGATAATGAGAAGGGGTTGGGGGAGACAATGTTGAGGTGGGGAGGGACCAGGAAGGCTGGGGCAGGGGTGAGAAAACTCCAGCAGGAGGCAGGATCTGTCCCTCAGATTGAGGCTGAGGAAGTAAAGGCAAGCAGCCCCTCTCCACTGACTGCCCTTCCCCATGACACCCCTCTGAGGTCTGGCTCAGGCCCTTCACCCCAGGATAACTGACCTAAGACTGCAAGCTCTCTCCACTCCATGCCCTCTTCGTCCCAGCCCCTCACTCACATGCCAACATGGCTGCTTGTCCAAGGTCCTCTGCTCTCCCAATAATACTTCCAGTAGGCACACAGCCACAGCCAGGCCTTCTAGAGCTGCCTCAGGCCACAGGGCTCTCTAGACAGCCAGCTGCCTGCCAAGGGGAGACCCTCAGCTGATCCTGTCCTCTTTGCTAGAGGAAAGGCCCCCTCCCCCACCCAAATGCACATGGATCAAGATGTGTGTTCACACTGAGCTCTGATGTCCCTGAGAGCTGGATGGAGAGACCCACACACACATATACACACAGTCAATGCCAGGCACTCTCACCATAAGCCACCTCATACAGCCCAGCTCCCTGTGGGCCTTGGGCCTGAGTGATAGTCATGGAAACAGATGGTATGACCACAGGACTACCCCCAAGTAGTCTTCCTTCTGTCTCCCAAAGCAATGGGCAGACCAGGAGAGAGCCTCTGAGTGCCTCTCTTGCAGGCCACACTTTCATTCCCCTGTGTCCTCCTGGAAAGTAATGGTACACTTGAAGCCAGACAGGCTACTAAGCCAACTGTCTCGGACTCATCCAGGAGCCGTATCCTTCAGGACAACTCATCATGACTGACGACTTGTTGCATGTCTGACACCATGCAGTTCATTGCTAGAGAAGCAGAAGGCACGAGACAAAGGTCTGATACCTCCCCACCTACCCCCACACACACCCCACCAGAGCTCATATTTCACTAAGAACCCAGAGGTGGACACAGGCCTGCAGGGAGAGCTCCAGTCTTGGCCCACCAGGAGCATAAGCCATCCCAGATGATGATGGCCAGGTGATGTTTGCTTAGACCATTTCCTATGAGGTTGAGTGGCTAAGGAAGGAAAAAGGATGTAAAGCAGGGTCAGTGGGGGAAGCTGATTATTGCTATCCTGAAAGTCATCAGGAACAATGATGTTTCTGTTTGCAGCTTCGTCCTTACGTTAGCCACTACCCCTGTGGCTCCTGGCTGCTGGAGATCGGAAGCTGAGGTTATTGTAGCATTCCATTCGTGTGCAAGTGTAAAGCTGGGTGACCACAGGGGCTGGTAGCTTGGTGCCAAAGGGCAGCAGGCACACTGCCATGCAGCTTCCTACAACTCCCTTCTCAGTTTCTTGAATTTTAGCCTTTGCAGCCAGCTGCCAGACTGCTGGGGTTATCAGCGCCCTCACCCTTAGCCTGCCTTCCTCACTGCTTTGAGTGGCAGGCAGAGCTCCTTGTCCCTGTCTTCCAAGAAAGGCTGAGGACAGGTGACCCCTCTACCTCCAATCTCAGGCCACTCTAGTACCCTTCTTCAGGCTGAGATGTCATCAAGAAGAGTCACCTGAAAGCTGCTTGCCACCCAGGCTAGGACTGGAGTAGTGTGAGATCCAGAAGGAGCCCACAAGGCGGCTAAGAGACATGAGGTAGGCTGTGGCAGCTGAGGGACAAAGATGGTGGGCATAGCCAGGCCTGGTCCTGCCACAGTCATCCTGGACCTGCCAATCCACCTGGCCCAATGGACATCATCCTAATTCCTGAAAATTTCCACCTCTTGATGCTCACATGATGGAGCCCTTCCAGGAGATGCATAAGTGATGGTGATGAGAAAGTGCTAACCTGTGGTGGTGGAGACAGAGGCACCAGGTAGCTTTGGTTACAGGCAGTGGTGAGAGAAAGGAAGTGGTATGCTGGGGTCTGACAGACCAAGGTCAGACCAGTTCTTTCTCTATTGATGTTACTGAGGAAAATTGAACAAACCTCAATGTCCTCATCCCTAAAATGGATGCAGAAAAAAGCAAATAAGCCTGCCCACTTGGCAGGGTATCTGGGCTCTGCTGAGTTTCTCTGCAAAGCATACACAAGGGAATGCTGTTCACGATGCCAGCCATGGAGGAGCATCAGCTGGAGCCCGTGCTGACAGCTTACGCCTGCTCAGAGCAAAGCCTTGGGTGCCGCCTTGCCTAGCTCTGTGGACAGCTCCACCTCTCAGAAGTGGAAGAAGCCAGAAAGGAACTCCTGCAAGTGTGATTCCACCTAATGGGAGAGACCCCTGGGAGAGGTAGCAATGGTTTGCAAGACTCCCATGAGAACCTGTGGTGTTGATGCGTTAGAACATGGCAACTCCCTTGGGTGGCCCCAGCTCCATGGACTCAGGCTCAGGCAGTAGATGTGGATGCTACAAAAGTGATCAGAAATGCCTCCTTCCTGTGTGCTGGCAGTGCCCTGTATCAGAACACTCTACATGAATGCTGAGCTCATGAATGTGTGGACCCCGACAGGCTATGCAGAGCATCAGGAACCTGGGGCCTTGCGTGTTACATGGATGAAAAGGATCCAAGGCACCGTTGCTAGAGGACTTGAATCCCATGTATTTGTCACAGGAGTACCTTATTACACTACTTCAGGAACCTCCAGGTTAGGAATAGTGGAACGCAGCACTCATTTCCCAAATGGCTTTGGCCATGGAAACTTTTTTTTTTGATGGAGCTTACAAAACGCACTTTCAAAAAAGTTGACCTAGACAACAGAAGTGCAGATTTCATAGCCAGGGTTTTCTAAAGGAAATTAAATTGAAGACAGGTGGGAGGTTGTTAAAAATGAAACTCTGTGTAGAAACCTGTGAGTAACTTCAAAGATAAAAGAAATAGGCAGCAGGTTATCTAGGTTGCACATGAGAGAAGCCTGAATCAAACAAGCTTAGGCATAAAAGAAATTGTATTGCCCTCAGAATCGAGGCGTGCCTGCTCAGACAGCCAGTGGGGGCAGGGAGGCTGCAGCGCCAGACACAACAGGAGCTGAGAGCTGCCACGCCCTGGGACCGCTCACCTCCCTCCTCTCTCTGGGCCCCTTCCACTCTCTCCCTAAAAGCAGCCTTTACTCACACAAATGCACACTTCTTATTTTCACACTTGACTTCCTATAGGTCTTCAGTCGTATCTCACAGTTCCTACCACCAGCAAGACTATTGTGACTGCCTCCTTGATCCATCAAAGGAAAGCAGGGAAGGAGCTCATTGGCTCAACTAAGTCATGTGCCCAGCCCCATGGGCAGACCTTGTGTTAGACCCTGGGTGACTGGCAGCTGGGGGAGGGGTTCCAAGAGGACTCTGTGGATCAGATAGTGTCATGAGTGGTCATGCTGGAGGAAGCAGTTGGGGAGGGAAGGGCATGGTAGTGCATCTTAGAAAGCCAGAACCAGTGTACAGGGAGCTCTCTAAGCACTCCTGTTCTAAGTGGACAGGGTTACGTGCTATGAAGACCGGAAACAAGCCCTTCCTTTCTCATCTCCTTTCATCTGTCCTTCACTCCAGTGAAAATAGACCTTTTAATATATATATCCATTGTTTCACTCCCCCAAATGGTCAGAACAGCCATAGCTGAATTCATCTAAATTCCAGAGCTGCTTCTGGGTCTCATACATGGGTGCAGGGGCCCAAGTACTTGAGCCATTTTCTGCTTTCCCACATGTGTTAGCAGGGAACTGGGTCAGAAGTAGATCAGCCCGGACCCAAAGAATATGCCAGTGGCCACTTCACTCACCAAAGTGCAGGCCCCCAAAACATACATTTCAAATATAATCACCATTAATTTCCCCCAAAATTCTGGTGTTAAGCATAAAAGTAATATTGTCTTCTAAAGGGATTTGTTTTTTAAAATGTATACTCTGCTAGGGGATAAAATCTGGCTGTGTTATCCCCTGGATTCCATTGCCTCATCCTCCTCCACCTTGTTAACTTGCATGACCATACCTGCTTCCTTTACTTTCTTTTAAAATTTGCTTTTGTTTGAAAGGCATAGAGATGGAGACAAATGAGCAAGATGTTCTGCCCAGTGATTCAGTCCCCAGGTGCTTGCATCAGCCAACCAGGGTGGGGCCAGGCCAGAGATGGAAGCCAGGAGGAATGCAGTCCAAGTCTCCCACATGAATGACAGGATCTC